GAAAACGCTCCTTTTAACAGGATGGGTCCTTTTAACAGGATGGGTCCTTTAACAGGATTGCAAGAACAATCTCAATTTATTTTTCACTCTCGCTTTAACCATTTTCTTTGTGTTGGGAAGCTGCTTTCCATCCCCAAACTAGCTTGTGAAGCTGGTTTGTTGAAACTGGAAGTCAAAACCAATTCCTTTAATTGAACACGACTGAACACAAAAAATTATACGTCTGTGAAGCAGCTTATCATCTGATTTGTGAAATGCTTTCTTTTCTAAGACAACTGCATGTGAAGCTCAGTGAAAGCCATCCTTAATTTCCCTGATGAGTGGTGAATCATCAAAGCATCTCACAATGCTGGGCAGAGCAGGAAGGTCATCTCAGAGCTTTTATTTCTTTCTCACTTACAATGAAGTTATGTTCTCAGCTGATGCTTTATTGTTGCTGAAATACAACAATACTTTATTGGAAAAAAGGGGATCTCCTGCCATTAAATATTCATAGGTGTGCCTGTTACCATGAGAGTTGAACTCTGAACAAAACTCAGTGCCTGAACATCATGTCCCTGTGCCACAGCATGGGGAGGGAACTGGGATTTTACCAAAGTCACTCTAACACACAAGCTGGCAGCTGCAACTTGCCACTCTCTAAGCAACGATAGATTTGTAAGAAAAAATTATTTACACCATGGCAAATTACATTTTTTATTTACTGAAGCATTAATGAGGAGATAGAGCAGCCTTCAGGTTCAAACACTCCATGTAGTGCTGCCATAAAATGAAAACAGCAAATATGCTAGAAGTAATAGTAATAAGAACAATAAATAATATTGTGTTAATATATGACCAGGGAAGGTACGTCAAACTTCTTTAAAGACGTTTATGGCGATTAACTTGAATAATGTCTTTATAGGACAATTACTGACCAGGTCTCTGCTTCTCTTCTCATATAACCAGACAGGTATTTAAAACAGGAAAAAACCCCAGCTAACTGCTTCAGCTTCTAATATAGAGGTTGATACCATTTTTGAATGACATTGGCATTTGAGCTTTATATGTTTGTCACAACTGGCAGGTCAATAGATATCACCCCCCCATACAAAAAATGTGGAGGAGGCACTGTATTCTTTGAGATGCCAGACAGACACACATGAATAAACAGTACTCATCTGGCACACAGGTGGGACCATCTGCATGACCGTTGTGCATCATGCACTGTCTTCCAGGGAATACGAAAAGTGCTTCCTGTACACCAGCCACCCTCTTCCCGGCAGAGTGACGGATGGGTCACAAATGTTACACAAACAAGCACAACCATACAGAAACTTAACCTGGTGATTAAGGCACGCATCTGTGACAGGGTTGAAGCTGAGGGTTTCATTCAGTTGCCTAGACATAGACAACCTACATGCCTGCATGTCAAACAGCACTGGCTCCTGAGTCTCAGGCAAGCCTCAAGTCTTCAACTGTACCAGCATGGTCCATGCTGCTGGGAGAGCGGCTACCAACTCATCAAGCTACACAACGTTCAAGAGAAAAGGCTACAAACTTTGTCAAACAGAAGAGCTGTAAATAGAAAAGAGCCTTCTCCAATTCCTTGGTGGTTTTGCAGTATGAATGACAACACAGAGAGAGACAACCATGGCTGCTATTCCTCATTAGTCCTACACACCAGCTGGGCACAATCAGAGGCTTCTCGCACCTCCATCACTCATTTGGTCTTTCTTTCCACTGTCCCTCAGCCTGCCTCCCTAGCTTTGGGTGAAAGTTAGGAGTTGAAAACCTTGAAAGATCTTTCCACCAGATGGCAGATCATGTTTTCCTAATCCCCAAGAATTTCCAACACCACTTGCTTCCCACTTCTTTCACTCCCTCAAGTCTTAATTCAAGAAGTTGCCTCCTTCCTCACAACGATTAGTGTAATGCTTCCTCTGGGGTGCTCAGTCAGGATTGCTCCAAAGAGTAAATCAGTAAAACTGATCTCCAAAGATCACTGAGGAGAAATAACCATGCATTTTCAGATCATCTTTGCTCAGGTAACTTTTCAGGGCAACACCAGATCAATTGTTTTTCCACCCTTGCAAACACTCTGCCTGTGAAAGCCGTCTATCTACAAGACTTGTAAGAAGTCCATGTAATTAAACGTCCTACAAGTGACACTAGGCCTCTGACTGTTATTTTGCAAAATGCATCACATGCACACTCAAATGCAGCTTTCTGAAACTTCTCAAAAATTCTGTGACAATAAACAGAGAACCTGAACACACTTGCCTCTCTTAGTCCTCCTATATGCTGTTTGGTCTAAGAATAAGCATCAGTTAGCGTCTAAGTTTGTCACCCACATCTACATGATCCAGCTGGACACAGACAGGGTGCCAGTGCTGGCTAACATGTCTTTGTGGAGCAGAAATCAGCTTGTCCAACAAGTGGGTTTGATTTCCCTGACACCATTAGGGCTTCTGGAAGACAATGCATATGTAAATAAGAGTTTCTTAGTTACGGAAGCGAAGGTGTTTATTTTGCAACAAGCAATACACTAATTGCTAATAGGCACAGTTCAGAGATCATCTCAGAGGTCCGCCCTGCTCCCATTGAAGATTGCCAGCTGTGGAATCAGCCCACTTCCCACTCAGCAGGCTCCATCTCTCTTGCCTGCGGGCTGCGTGAGGGCAGACATCCCTACAGCACAGCCCCATCTCCCCAGGAACAGCAGGAAGAAAAATCCGTAAAGTTCAGTATTTGACTGATGTGCTACCGTAGGTCTATAAGAAGCAGTATGGACCACTAACCCTTTACTATGGCAAAGTGGCACCCAAACCATATGCCTCAAAGCCAGCTCAGGTATTTTAGCCCTAAACAAACCTGGCCTCTTAAGAGGTCCTTACTAAGGATGCTCTTTGAATAAAATATTAAAGACGACACAACTGCTGATAATCTGAAACTAGTCGTTCCTGCTTCTATTTTCAGCCTGTTTTTCTAAGAAACCAAGGCTTGTGAGGTCATGCTTCTTTCGATAACTTAAACCCTACTGCTCATTTTAACCAAACCTGACTAGATAGAGCTCTGAAGGATTTTTATATTTGTACAAGCTTTAAAGAAATGAGTCTGAGATGACACACCTGGAGAAAAGGGTGCTGTTTTGAGTTCACAGATAAGACACCCCAAAAGCTATATCCAAGAGAACTAAATGTGAGGAAAGACTTATTAAGAGCTCACAAGCTATCATGAGATAGCGATGCATGGTAAGAAAAAGGCTTTATTAGTTCCAGCGCTTACATTTAAGTTAGTGCTTCATTCAGCAAAAAGCCTTTTACACAAAAAAGTAACACCTGATTCGTAAAGCCACAGAAACAGGCACCAGAACCAGCAGATAAATGTAGTAAAGACAATATTTTTGAGATTAGTAGAAAAAGAAGTGGAAACATTTCAGGCTTATGACCTCCTTCCCACTCTAATTCTCCATGGTTCCAAACAGCTATAGCCCAGAGCATGCAGTCTTGGCATGCAGTTCTCAGAAGGGACTAAAAATAAAGAGATTTTGCACTAAGCATCCACAGCTAAAGATAATGGCATTACAAGTTAAAATATAATTATTCAAAAATATTTTTGTTAAGCATGTGAAATCTGAATCCAAGTAAGAACATCTTTAGTAAAATATGATCCATTGCTCCACCTGTGTCTAAATACTTTCAATACTCCAGACCACACATTTGATACTGTGCAGTAAAAGCAGGGAAAGGAATTGGGGATTTACAGCTAGTAAAAATTCTGGTTCAGTGTTTTTAACGACACTTCTGGTGTCTCCTAGACACTCTTATTATTATAGTATCATTACTTGTAAGAAGCCCAAAATATAAAGTGAATACCAGAAGATAATAAAATTGCATATATAGTATCATACTGCATGTAGGCAGACAGGACATCATACGTTTTCTTTACCACTACGTAAATGATGCTTACTGCTTTACTGTGAGAACCTAAAATTTTTACTTCAGCTCATTTAATGGATGATTCCATTTAGCGCATGAACCCTGAAAAGAATCAGATTTACCAAGCTGCCTTTTAACAAAAATAGGTAAATTTTAAGACAGTAAATAAGCTGCAAAAGCTTTATATGGCAGTGCATTAGCCAATAATATTATTCTGACATTAATGGTATTTACTCAGGATTTTCTTTCCAACTCAGCACCCACAATACAGATAAATTTCCACAAGTTTTTCACATTTCCTTAACCTCTTGGTTCAGTCACTGCATGGCAGGACCAAGAAGACAGTATCTTAACAGTCACTGATGGGCATTACATATTGGTTTCCAGCAGGCCAACATTTATAAATTTAATAGTAATGTGGTTGAATCTGCCAATAAGGTATTAAAAAAATGGCTGAGTTTTAAACTAGACTACCAAGACACATAATAATAATAATAATAATGATGATGATGATGTAAGCAACTTTACCCCAGGGAATAAAGAAATCCCTGAAATTAATTGTATAGATTTTAACGTTAATAAATAAAATGCAAGGAGTATTTAAATCTCAATTCTTGCCTTTCCTGAGTGTCACCAAACTGTCCAGCAGTAACTACAGCTCATGCCTTTCAAACATGAGGCTGTAATTATGGATTAGGACAAACAGTTACTGGAACAGAGAATATGCAAGATGGGGTTTTTGTGAAGCGCTCTGGAGTTGCCTATTATAAAGTCATCGACCCTGGTGGAATGGGGAAGGCACCGCACAGCTCTCTAGCTGAGAGGCACAAGGAACAAAGGCAATGGAAAAAATGCTACAAAAACCAGGGAAATTTGTGTAGAAAGGAGTCAGTTAGATACAGACTCTAAATGTGACTTTCAACTCTGTCAAACCTGACATGGTAGTTCTTAAAAACTGCATGCCAGGTTTAAAGAAGGACAAAATTCCAAACCCAGTGACACTGACCTCAAATACTCTTAAAATTATAAAATGGAGTCAACACCTTGCACAGCAGTGAAGCCCTGTATACATTTACATACCTCTCTTGCATGGTCAGAGGCATCATCATCAGGCCCTTCAGAGTTGGCTGGACCAGGAGAGGTAAAAACACCTCTCGCTTTTCAGTTACCAGTGGACTGGAGAGAATACCCAATGGGCGCGTCCAGCAACAACATTACGTTCTGCATTTCATCAGGGAGGATTACACACTTGCTTCCAGACTAAGCAGCAGCCGAGCAGGTGACTGACCTGAGGTGCCGGCAAGGAGCAGACCAAACGTGCGCCTGGACGCTGGGCTTACCTGATGTAGTGCTTCTCTCCATGCACTGCTTTGGAAGGTCCAGGCTCCGCAGCTCCTCCGTGCTGGCGTATTTCATGACGGAGTTGATTGAGGTGAGGGTGCTGATGAGCTGTGAATTGAGAGACCCAATCTGGGAGTGGGGCTCCCCAAAGGCTTCTGCTAATTCACTGTAATTTTCAGCAAGCAGCATCTGCTGTTCCTGCAGCAGCTTCTGCACACGCTCGATGTAGTGATCCAGGCCCGCCCTCAGCTCCGGTGGAGGCAGACGGCTTTCCAGCAGACCACTCACTGGCTCGCACACGGACTCTCCCCCAACGCCAATGCTCCTGGTGCCGGCTGGCACAACTGGCAATGGAGGGGGTCCACAGGCAATGCTCCTCATTTTAAGACCAACCAGGTAGTTCTCCTGAACGTTTATCTGCCCGATGCCACAGTCTTTGGTTTTTATTGCTGAGGGCTTTTCAAAGCCAGGGTGGCTAGAAAGAAGGGTGCCCACTCCAACCGAACGTGTTTTAGCAGACACATGTATGTCCTTCACCCGGCCATCTCCTACTGCCACGCTCCGCGTCTCCACACCCTCCGTGTTGGTCTGTTTATCATAGCTGCTCAGCGAGGTGTTTGTCCCACAGTCTGCCAGGGAGACTGTCTCCGTGCCAGTGCACTGGCTCACCATCTCCAAAGTGGTGCTGGTTTGCTGACTAGCCATAGAAGGCACTGCCATTACCATCGCCTCAGCTCTGCGCACAGCCTCTGTGGCTGTTTCGCGAGACATGTGCTCCTTGGGGGCACAAACCACCACGTTCACCGAGCAATCCCCGCAGCCCACAGACCTCACTGTTCCGACCACTTGTGCCGGCCGGCAGGGGCTCAGCATGCCTGTAGGCTCCTCGGTGTTGACACCTGTCTCACAGATGCTCGTCTCTGTGCCCACCACCTTATCGTGCAGCTCAGTGGACCTCCCCGTGCCCTGGTCTCGCACCTCTGCCCTCTCCCTCACCAGCCACTGGCTCATCAGCAGCTCGGGGCCTGCAGCGATGCTCCGCACAGCAGGTCTGCAGGAGGTGCCAATGCTGCTGGTCTGCAGGTGGTTTCCCACCGACGAATCAGCAACGTCCACATGGTCTCCCACCATTTGGTCTCTCATTTGTACGACAGCCTCCACCATCCTGTTGATGACACATGGCTGAGCCATCACGGCTTTATCCAGTTTTTTCCTAGACCCAGCTGCCTGCAGCTCCTGTTTTAATTTGGTCATCTCCCTGTCATGGGTTGTTTCCTTTAACTGAACCTCTAGTCTGTAAATCTTCTCCTTAAGGGCTTCAATGGTCTGCTGCTGAAGCTCTATCTCTTTCTCAACCTCTGTAGACAAGCCAAGCATTCCCTCTGTCACCCCAACCCCAGATTCTCTCACTTCTTTCTCTGTCCCCACTGCTACTTCTCTGTGCTGTCTCGCACATCTGTTGTACATAACCACATCGTTGATGTTCTCATCAGTACCTACAGCAACAGATCGCATTTCTTTTGTCAGGCTTTCTCTGTTCATGCGAAGGTTTGCAGGACTTTCACAGTTGCTGTCCTGGATTTTTTTCTCCAGAGCTTGCATCTCAGCAGTCAGCTGCCTGAACTCCTCTATCCTCTGAGAGCTCTGCTCCACACTCTCCACCTCTTCTTCACAATCTATATACAGTTCTCCACCTCTTCCCACCTGAGACAGGTGTTCCCACTGCTCTGCATTTCCTGCACTGTAGGATCGTTTTCTGAAACCGTACGTATCAATTTGAGTGGCTTTCCTCTGATTTTTGAGTTCGGCCATCATGTGTCTCTTCTCTTCCTGTAACACTGAAATTTTGACCTGCAGCACAGGAATGGTCTTGACTTGCTCCTCGAGCTCCTTGAGACGCTTGAGGGCAACTGCCATTTGCTCCCTGATGTGCTGCAGATGCACCGGGCTCACGTTGGTGACCGGCGTGGATATTCCCGAGCTCATGGGGCTGTGACGAATGGAACTGCCCAAGGAGGAGCTGAAGCAGGCACCGTAGTCACCGTTCCCCTGATACCCATTGTGCGGCTGCTGAGAAATGTGACCATACCCGCTGGATCCCACAAAAGAGGGGAGGGAGCTCGTGGAGCCCATGCCTCCAAAGCTGGAAAGCCGCGGCCTACGGACATCTCCAGGCACAACCTGCATCATCCTCTCCTGCTCGAGTCGCCTCCGCGTTTCCATGAGAGTTTTTGTTACATGGAGGTTGTGCCGAGGAGGCTGGGGGGAGGGAGGAGGAAGCTGCCTGCTCTCAGGGACGGTTAAGTAGGAAGGAGATGCTTCAAAGGAAACTGAGGGTCTCGCGGCCACGGATGGGGTCACTTGACTCCTTGCTGCCAGACAAGGCTGCTTGTTCTCATCACTGTTCGACGAAGAGAGAGACTCTGTGGAGGTCCAGCCACTGCACTGGCCACCACAGTTCTTGGTACCTGTCGAGGGTGGTACGGCTTTCCTCTTCTTTCGGATATTTAGTTTCTTAATGGTATTCCCCTTTTGTATATCATCCACATACTTCAGAAAATCCAAGTCTAGCTGGTAGCCGTAAGGTGTTTCCACAAAATAGGGGTCTTTCCGTTCTTTTTCATCTTCTCCATTTATAATAACTTCCTCTTTTTCTGGAAAAGAAGAGACAAAATGAGCATTGGAAAAGAAACTATGTCTCAGTACTATGTGCTGAAACACAAGCGCGGAAAGATGGGTGCTCACAGCACGCCAGAGGCAGAGACTGCTGCTGCAGCTCAGTGAGCAGACCAGCTTTCCGCTGACTGACCCCTAACACTAAATCCCAATTAACTTTTTAAAAGTTAATCAGTAGGTTTTCAAATGCTGGGAAGTGCAAACCCACATAAATGTGTACACATGCACACACACAGATAACGTCTGCTAACAAAGAGGCACAGAAGTGGCACAGCTAGTAGCTCAAAAGCTGTCCTTCCCTGAATCCCTCCAGTCTTCCCATGTCACACCAAGCTTCCACACAGCTGTCACGTAAAGCTTACCAGGTACCACACGAATCATCCATGAAACAACTTCTCTAGAGGGTGCATTCGAGCAGGCGACAGAACTCCGACCCTGCTCCTTACGCAACCGATGCCATCAGCCTTCACACAGATCCGCAGCTGTTTTATGGCTTTGGGAACTGCTGCCGCAAGAGCAGCAATACCTGTTCGCTCTCACCTCAGCTCACGTTACTTCCACCCCTGCCTCTTTCACTTTAAACCACACGAAGCCCCCAGCACCAAGACAGGCAGCGGGACCACCTTCCAGCCATGCCCCAAATCTCCCTGCTGAGGAGACTCTCACCTCCTACGTGAGGAAAACCCCTCTGCCCTCCAGACACAGGACTCGCCTGTCCCCAAAGCAATCTAAATAAAACTTCACCAGATCTGCTGGGCTTCCTTAGGCTGAGTATTTATACACAGCGCTGCTATACAACCTCCTCCTCCCGTCCCACTTAAGGGAAAAAAAAGAGAAAGGGAAAAACAACTGTTGCGAGTTATGAGCTGCAGGAATAACAGAAGCCAGCTTTCCGGTTACCTGAATTAGCCACATGCCTCTGTCCGCACACTGCAAATTTTCCAGCCGCGTACGGCTGCCCCAGCTTCAAGTGTCACACGCCGAAGCCCGGCCTCCCTC